TCAACAGGTTAGGGATCAGACGAAAGCGGAGTCAGTCACAAGCCAAGGGTCGGTCACAAAATGGTCAGATCAATCGTAGTACGTTAATGCCGAAAGGTCAGTAGCGGAGGTGTAGACAGCAGCAGGAACAGTAGCAGGATATTGGCTGGAAAGGCACAATAATCTAGCAAGGAGGAAGTGCATGGACATGGCTTTTATAAGGAAGTTCATGGGAGGAGCAAGGAGTTCAAGGTTCAAGAGCAATCAAGGCACAAGGCAGGATTATCCAAGAATTGTCAAGGGAGCTGTCCAGCATTCCAGATAGCTCAGTGAGAAGAGAGACATTGCCTCTCACTGCAGAAGGACCAGGTTCGATCCCAGGCTCTAACACCCTGATAGGGGCAACTGATCAATAATATACACTACTGGGGATAACTGATCAAACATGTACTCTGATAGTGGAAACTAATCAATATTGTATCCTGATAGGGGAAACTGATTTATAATGCACCCTGCTAGGGGAAACAGATCTATAATGTACCCTGAGGAGGGCAACTAATCTATAATGTACCCTGATGGGGGAAACTAATCTATAATATACTCTGATAGGCACAACTGATCTATAATTTACTTATGTATGGAGCAAGCAATTTATGGGGGCAACTACTCTACAGGGGTACTCTGATAGGGGCTTCAGAACTATAATATATTCTAATAGGGGCAAGTAATCTGTAATGCACCCTGATGGGGGCAACTGATCTATAATGTACTCTGAGGGGGCAACTTATTATCATGTACACTTATAGAGTTAGCTGATTTCTAATGTACCTTGATGGGGGCAACGGATCTATAATATACCCTGAAAAGGGTAACTGATCAATAGTGTACACTGATAGAGGTGATAAAAAATGTACTCTGTTAGGGGCAGTTGATCAATAATGTACCCTGATAAAGGCAACAATGATTAATAATGTACACCAATAGGGGCAACTAATCAATAATGTACTGTGATAGGGGCATCCTCCGAAAGTCACATTCTTGGCTTGCGCACTCACAGCATAATCAATAATGTATCTTGATAGGTGCAACGGATGTATAATGTGCACTGAGTTGGCATCTGACCTATAATGTAGTCTGTTATGAGGGAAACTGATCTATAATGTAATCTAATAGGGAAGCAACACTGATCAATAATGTACCTTGATAAGGGCAACTGATCAATAATCCAAAATGTACCTTGACAGGGGACAATGCTGGGATCATTAATGTTGACCAACGATCAGGGTGTGAACTGCATTTTCCATAATATCTCCTGTATCTGAAGAGAATAGGGGCAAAGCTTTATTTATACCATAACAGTGCATAAAAAACTTGTGAACTGCTATTCTCAGTCCACAGTGTAAAGTGGTTTGTCCACAATACTGCAGTGATATCCTAAGTAAATAATATCCTATGTAAATATTATCGAATCGCTCACAAAAATAAACATAAAATCTTCTTTCAACAAATAAAACTGTTCAAGTGTCCACAAAAATCCGTGACTCTTTGCATCCATTATTATGTAGAAATAGGGTGCTCCTCAGTTCACCTCGTGTGTAGTTTTATAATCAAAGAAACCACATCAAATTACATAACAATTGATGTCATTTTAGTTGCATTTGGGTAGTTTACAACGTCCTTGTAGGATTTGATTCTGAATACAATTCCAAATGTACACTATAGTCCCTAAACCCCTTTACAGCATTGGGGTTGAATAATTTTGGGTGGCCACAACTGTTCACCAACACTTGTGCACACCTTCACCGGTTGTGCTCTCACCTGGTGTATATGACCAAACCGCTAAGTGAGGTCATATAAAGCATGTGTCCCTTTGTTTGGACTATGATGAGATGGTAATGCTGTCCAATGGATCTGGGTCTCCTTCACTGTTCTAAATTATTCTCCTCCATCAGATCAAATGCCAAAAAAGATAACCAAACACAGTGCTTTAGCCTTACAAAAAAGTGCTTTACATTTATTTAAAATGTGCTATATTTCACTCACATCTGTAACATTAGTATGTGCTTTGTGCAAAAGAGCAACCCCTCCAAAGTGCCACTAGTAGTCCTGGCATACACAACCAGCTGATCTCTCTCCACTGCTTACCGCACGTTGTGATGTCAAAGCCCCTCCCCTATACGTTGCGCCACAGGGTCTTGTGGCTTCATCATCCCCCTGCCTATGAGGAAGTCATGAGGAAACGCGTCGTGCGGACGTGACGTCAGACACAAGGGGAAGTACCATGGCGGCCATTTTGGAATAAACTGTTTGTATCTCAGATTCATGTAAGCGCAATCTTTACTATTAAATTGATCTTTCAAAATACTGATGTACTATGTGCGTGTATGTTTACTTTCTTATGGTCACTGAGAGTATATGAAGAATTGGGGAGGAGAAAATGGATTTCTGAGCACGTTGAATATTGAATTATGGAAAGGCAATTAAAAAGATTTGCATGGTAAGGTGCATGCCTAAAGGGGAAGGGATCGAGCACATGGATTTGTTTTTGCACACTGATGGTGGATGGAGTATGGTCACATGCATATGGATGGCATTTACAGTAAAAGAGAGTGAAATGCACATGCACCCTATGAGGGTAAGAGTATTTAGTGGGATTAGCGGCGGACACTATTTGCATAACATTTATAATTATGCACAGGTATATTCAGTACTACACTTTATGTAAGAATTACTACACTATATTAGCTTTTTTTGCTTCGGAGATTGGAATCAGTCGATTGGAAGATCAAAGGAGAGAGTGATATCTATGATATACAACGCATTCTAAGAAGATTCTGGTGAGAATATAGGAAGATCTGTGAAGGACAGTTGTGCATTGTTTTTTTATATACAAGACTTTTTGTACCCGGGGGGTATTGGACTGTCAGCTGCACATTGTTGTATTTTGTGGCGCTTATTTTAATTCCAAATACCCCAATTTTACCGACACCTTTCCTTTAGGACACCTCAGAGAGGCTAATCCTTCCTATTCTCACAGCTGAAGTGTCAGGGCTCTGGGGTATGACCAGAGGTATGTGACTGACGCAGGGAAACGCAGGCTTCAGATAAGTTATAAACAATATAATTTATTAAAGACTAACAATACAAACATAAACACAGTGCAATACTAAAACATAACACAGTGCAAATGAACCAAACCAAACCACCCACAGATAATACATACAATGCAAGCGTCGTCAGGCAGGCCGGGTCAATAACAATCGGGCAGGTAGGTACAGGGGGGTCAGGCAGAGAATGGTCGGGGTCACAAGCCAGGGATAAAACAGGAGAAGTCAGCAGAGGTCCGGATCAGGCAGGGTCAACAACGAATCAGACAGAGACAGGAACAGGAACAGGGATGCAGGAACACGATACAGGGCCCAGGAAAAACACACACCAAGGCAAAGACTGCAGGTCTGGCCATCACTTAAATACACCTGCATAAGCAGTTTCAGGTGTTTGGCTGGCTGCAGGGTTGAGTCTCTGATTGCTGGGAGCACCCGCTGGCCAGCCCTGGTACTGCAGCCCACAAGGCAGGTGAGTCCCACCATTACTGGCAAGTCCATTCCTAACAGTACCCCCCCCCTCAAGGAGCGGCCTCAGGACGCTCCAAACAGTCCTAGCTGGGCAAAATGTTCCACCGCCCGGGTCTGGTAACTGGCGGGATATCAAAGACTGGCACACCGGGCAGGACTCCAGGCAGGGCAGGGCACAGGCAGCGGCACACCGGGCAGGACTCCGGGCAGCGGCACACCGCGGCTGGACTCCGGGCAGCGGCACACCGGCTGGACTCCGGGCAGCGGCACACCGGGCAGGACTCCGGGCAGCGGCACACCGGGCAGGACTCCGGGCAGCGGCACACCGGGCAGGACTCCGGGCAGCGGCACACAGGACTCCGGGCAGCGGCACACCGGGCTGGACTCCGGGCAGAGGCACATCGGGCTGGACTCCGGGCAGAGGCACATCGGGCTGGACTCCGGGCAGAGGCACATCGGGCTGGACTCCGGGCAGAGGCACATCGGATCACCAGGCGAAGCAGCAGGCACCGGGCCACCAGGCAGAGCAGCAGGCACCGGGCCACCAGGCGGGCGACAGGCATCGGGGCGACAGGTCGGGCCCCAGGCGGGGCGACAGGCATCGGGCCCCCAGGCGGGGCGACAGGCATCGGACCCCCAGGTGGGCGACAGGCACCGGGCCACCAGGCGGAGCAGCAGGACCGGGCCACCAGGCGGAGCGAGCAGGCACCGAGTCACCAGGCACGCAGTGGGCTCCGAGTCAACAGGGCACCGGGCCCGCTGGCGGGGTCAGACAGGCATCGTCCCCCAGGCTGGACAGCGGGCATCGGGTCACCAGGCATCAGCGTCATTTCTCGACAGGCGGAGCGACAGGTCTCAGGCCCCCAGGCGGACCCCCGGAGCGGCGGGCACCGCGTCATCTGGCAAGGCAGTGGGCACCAAATGGGCTCACCAGGCATGACAGTGGCTCTGAGTCAATTGGCACGACAGCGGACAGCGGGCATCGGGTCATCAGGTACCAGGTCATTTGGCTGACCGCGTCGACAGCAGTGGCACCAGGTCATCTGGTGCTGGATCTGAGTCAATGGCTCGACAGCGAGCACCGGGCATCAGGATCACCAGGCATGACCGACGGGCACCAGGTCATCAGGTGCTGGATCGTCTGGCTCGACAGCGGGCATCGGGTCACCAGGCATGACAGCGGGCACTGGGTCACCAGGCATCAGGTCATTTCGGCTCGCCAGCGGGCACCGCGTCATCTGGCAAGGCAGTGGGCACCGAGTCACCAGGCACGACAGTGGGCTCTGAGTCAATTGGCACGACAGCGGGCACCGGGTCATCAGGTACCGGATCGTCTGGCTCGACAGCAGGCACCGGGTCATCTGGCGCTGGATCGTCTGGCTCAACAGCGGGCATCGGGTCACCAGGCATGACAGCAGGCACTGGGTCATCAGGCATTGGATCGTCTGGCTCGACAGCGGGCATCGGGTCCTTAAAGTACCGGATCGTCTGGATCGACAGCGGGGCACCGGGTCATCTGGCGCTGGATCGTCTGGCTTGACAGCGGGCATCGGGTCACCAGGCATGATAGCGGGCACTGGGTCATCAGGTATTGGATCGTCTGGCTCGACAGCGGGCATCGGGTCACCAGGTATGACAGCGGGCACTGGGTCATCAGGCATTGGTTCATCTGGCTCGACAGCAGGCATCGGGTCACCAGGTATGACCGCGGGCACTGGGTCATCAGGCATCGGATCGTCTGGCTCGACAGCGGGCATCGGGTCACCAGGCATGACAGTGGGCACCGGGTCATCAGGTACCGGATCGTCTGGCTCGACAGCGGGCACTGGGTCATCAGGCGTGATAGGATCATCAGGCTGGATCAGTTCATCAGGCTGGGTACAGGCTGGGTACAGACATCAGGCTGGGTACAGACATCAGGCTGAAGTGCGGGTGCCGAGGCACCAGGCTGAACCACGGAAGGCAGGTTCTCAGACGGCAGGCTCACCGGTTTGGATACTGGCAGGATGGTACTGGTTGGAAAGAATTTCCTATTTTTTCTGGTTTTAACTACTGGGGCACTGCAAGTAAACGCAGGTTTGTAAACGGATGGAGCAGCTGAGGACAGAGAAGAGCTGGAAGATGGAACAGAGGAGGGAGCAGTTGCTACAGAGGACTTCTTTACAGGGTTAAAGAAAGGATAGGTGCAGCGAGTGGGAGCAGAGGACTGGTATGTGGTAGTTTAGAGTATACTGGGCAGTCACTGGGGGTGCTGTCGGGGAAGCAGGAAGAGTGCCTTGAGTGGAGGAATGATGTTGTAAGCTGACTGAGGCTGGGTGCAACAAGTCTGACCATGTCTGCAGTATGGGTTGAACGAAGCTCAGTTTACACAAAGCCTGTCTGGTCAATGACTGCACTGCGTTTATACAATCTCTTAATACCTGTGGTGAACATGCAGAATAACGCTCCAGAAAGTAATCCACATCATCCTCTAATAACCATACCAGGGACTCTACCTGGTCGGCACTAAATGGCAGCAAAAATTCATCCCTGCATTCGGGGGGTACCAGATGAAACCAACTCCGCACAAACCTGAATCAATGGCTGCACCTCAGAGAATTCTGTGCCCTGATCTACTAGAACATGAGCAATCCGTATACATTCTAGCAGTTCATCCCTGGGATATACTCCTTCAGAGTCTGATAAGCATATTCTCTGTCATCAAACACTAGCAGATATAAATACACAACCTCATCAAGATCCATCCTTCCCAGCAACAAGCCAAGATGGCTTCCCTGTGCAGCCACTTCTGGTCAGGATTGGCCTTGGTGTAATGTCAGGGCTCCGGGGTATGACCAGAGGTATGTGACTGACAGAGGGAAACGCAGGCTTCAGATAAGTTATAAACAATATAATTTATTAAAGACTAACAATACAAACATAAACGCAGTGCAATACTAAAACATAACACAGTGCAAACGAACCAAACCAAACCACCCACAGATAATACATACAATGCAAGCGTCGTCAGGCAGGCCGGGTCAATAACAATCGGGCAGGTAGGTACAGGGGGGTCAGGCAGAGAATGGTCGGGGTCACAAGCCAGGGATAAAACAGGAGAAGTCAGCAGAGGTCCGGATCAGGCAGGGTCAGCAACGAATCAGACAGAGACAGGAACAGGAACAGGAGGGATGCAGGAACACGATATAGGGCCCAGGAAAAACACACACCAAGGCAAAGACTGCAGGTCTGGCCATCACTTAAATACACCTGCATAAGCAGTTTCAGGTGTTTGGCTGGCTGCAGGGTTGAGTCTCTGATTGCTGGGAGCACCCGCTGGCCAGCCCTGGTACTGCAGCCCACAAGGCAGGTGAGTCCCACCATTACTGGCAAGTCCATTCCTAACATGAAGACCCAAAATTAACTATCGCAGCCTATTTAGACTGAGGAATTTGCCCTACCCATATCGGATACCCAACCAGGGAAAGCACCAGGGCTCGACGCTTCACTCTACCCTATTGCAAAACATACCCTTTAAGCCTCTCACTTCACTAAGGCGTTTAATGCTATTCTGGAAGGTCATGCTATTCCTCCAGATAGGCTAAGAGCCTCTACTGTATCTCAGTGTTGACGAAGCCAGGTAAAGACCCTCTGGAGTGTGCTAGCTACAAGCCAATTTCCCTTATAAACTGTGATGTCAAGTTATTTTCAAAAATTTTAGCATCCAAACTGAACACGCTCTTGCAGCGCTTGATTGCTCCCGATCAGGTAGGTTTCATCCAGACTAAGGAAGCAAGAGACAATACAATCCAGACTTTGAATATTATAGAGACTGCGCGGAGATCTCAAACCCCCCTCCTACTCTTTTCCACCAATGCCGAAAAGGCTTTTGATAGAGTTGACTGGACATTTTTCAAGGCCACACTCCGGGCAGTAGGGATGCCACAGCCTGTCCAGACGTGAATTGCTGCTTATACACTAATCTTATGGCTACAGACCGAGTGAATGGATTTGACTCCAAGCCCTTCCCCATCCAACAGGACGAGACAAGGGTGCCCCCTTTCACCATTATTATCTGTTCTCTCCCTAGAACCTTTTCTTAAACACATCAGAAACAACCCCAATATTAGAGGCATTCAGGCGGGAAGATACCAACACAAAGTGGCAGCTTATGCTGACGATCTCTTGTTTTATATAGCTGAGCCCTTTATATCTCTCCCATCACTGGCTGCTGAGCTCCGGGATAAATCAGAGGACCATACAAAAAAAGGTGGTTCTACTGGGACCTCTTCCGCTTCTCTGACGAATTCCTTCAATACACATAGATTCACCTATACACATATGAGTGGTGCTGCCTGCTCTGTCTTTGCGTTTCCTGCTCCCTGAGAGTTTTTTTTTCTTTTCTTCCCTCCCCACTTTCACCATGCCCCCCCAACGCCACTCTACTCCCTTATTCAATTTCCCTACCTCCCCTTTTTTCTCTCTCTCTTTCTACTTTCTCCTCTCTTCATTCCCCCTTTTCCTTTTCATATCCTTTTCTTTTTATAATATCCACAAAAACGCGGTATGCATAGATGGGGATAGATTATCTCTCCTTCACCACAGTTGACAACGACCCTTCGTGACCATTAGTGTTCGGTCATAACGTGGTTAAATTAACTTTTTTATTTTTTTTATTAAGGGTTAGGTTAGGGTTAGGGGTTAATTATTATTTATGTATTTATTATGACATAGTAGTCATTTATTTTTGTATTTATTAATGATTATTTTTATTTATTTGTGTATTTAATTGATTTATTTTACATTTATTTATTCATTTATTATTATTATATTTGTTTTAAAATGTTTTCATTTGAGCAGATAAACGCTTCAAATCCACGCACAAACACATTGCGCATTTCCATTAATTTCTGTGGAATTAAAAATGCTCAGAAACGCGCACATCTGTCCAATTTGAGTGACTTATACTTATAGTTGTGCTCAAATGTGGCTAAATGGTTAGCACTTCTGCCTGGCAGTACTAGGGTTGTTGGTTTGAATAACAGCCACGGCACCACCTGCCTGGAGTTTGCATGTTCTCCCTGTGCCTGCGTGGGTTTCCTCTGGGTACTCTGGTTTCCTCCCACACTCCAAAGACATGCTGGTAGGTTAATTGGATCCTGTCTAAGTTGGCCCTAGTATGTGTATGTATGAATGTAAGTTAGGGACCTTAGATTGTACACCCTTTGAGGGTTAGGGACTGATGTGAATGTATAATATATATATGTAAAAGCACTGCGTAAATTGATGGCGCTATATAAGTACCTGAAATAAATAAATGCTTGCATACCCTGACAGAATTTAGGAGATTTTTGCATTGATAACAGAAAATTTCCTATCAAATACTTACCGTAATTTTCCTTTCCTGATGGACTCCATGACAGCATACATATGGATTTATCACACCCTCTCCAATCCTATAGGATCCCACTCCTATAAATCTTTGCTCGGAGACAGAGGTCGTATTCCATAACTAACCTACTCATGACATTGGGAGGGTACTCCTGCTGCCATGGAGTCCATAAAGAAAAGAAAATTACGGTAAGTATTTTATAGGAAATTTTCAGTTTTCCTGACAGGCAGGTTTAATGGAAATGTCTTTGATTGTGGATGACTCTGTTGGCGCCAAGCCAATTTCCGAGAAAAAAATTGGGACAAGAGGAAGGGCCACTTAGGGAATCTTGGTTTTCTTTAGGATCCCAGCCTCACTGTTCCTTAACCTCCCTAGCGGTCTGATTATGTCAGAATTTCTGTGCTCAAAACGGTACATTTTGCATGGAAATATGTCGTTTTTCTGTTGTAGGCCTGTAATTTTTAGGAATAACTCACTGAAATCTGTCCGAACAAGAGTCTAGTAAACATCTCGGGTATGATAAAAATTTGAAATCATAAACTATCATTTATTAAATAATTATAAAAAATAATACATTTAATTCAATAATATAATCAAACCAAAAACACTGAAATTTTAAATATAGCGCCAAGTTCGCACATCACTGAGCAAAGTCGCAAAATCGTTTTTAGTGTCTGATGACGAATTTCCCCACAAATCATTATCACTCAATTCTGCAAGTGATTCTAATTTACTATCACTGTTCTCTAGCTGGTCTAAAACCGCTTTTGACCTAAAGGGACGCTTTTTGGACGCCATGGACGCTTCTCAGTTTCCAGGCAGAAAGAACAGTAAATATGCAGGCACGGCACAGGACAAAGCACTCGGGACAAAATGTATGTGAAATGGTTTGGTACAGTAATGTTTTACTATGTGATTTTAGTGTATTTAGTGAATGTCACTTTTTGACATTTTTACATTTCCCGCCAGTTCCATCCCCGTGCGTCCTGACGTCGCAGGGAATGGAACCCGGAAGACAGATGCTGGCATCGGCTGGAGGAAATTGCCGGGGACGCTGCAGGGGGGACATCGCGGGAGCGCAGGGCAAGGTAAGTACAGAAGGGATCCCGAAGCAGCGCTGCAGGGTATTCCCAAGTGTAGCTCAGGGTTACCGCTTGTGGTGCTGAAACTTTACCCCAAACTACACTCGGGAATACCTCCAGGGAGGTTACAGAACTGGCAGACAAGAAAGTGGTTGGCCCATGCAACTCCGGTGAAAGTTGAAATGGCTGATACCTATACCTTGAGGGAACTGACAGACTGAGGTTGAAGCCTGTTTGTAGAAACTCCAGGATATCCTGAGCTTCCTGAGCCACCAGGCCTTGGTCGCAGTGCTGACAACCTGCTTGCAGGAACAAGATAAGACTTCAGACACACCGTGTCCTAGGAGGAGGACAAAAAAGGAACACGATGAAATTGATCCACACTACCATTGTTAAGGGTTATGACTAAGGCTTGTTAAGCCGAAACACGTCAACCTTTGTACCTGTGATGTTTTTACTGTGGTTGATTTAATAAAATGAAGATTTTAGAGCAATGGAGGTAGTGTGGATCGATTTCATTTAATACTGGAACGGATAAGCAACTGTGGATCACTCACCTGCCTAAGTCCTGGGATGAGCATTGGATGGGTAGTAGCACCTTCTTTTCTTTTTTTAAAAAAAGAAAACGACCTCTGGTTCTGAAAAAAGATTTATGGGAGTGGGATCCTATAGGATTAGAGAAGGAAGGGCTAAACCTATACATATGCTGCCATGGAGTCAGGAAAATGAAAATATGATTGATCATGCCAAAAAACTGGACAGTGATCATATGAAGCCATTTATTATCACATAGTTGTTTGGCTCCTTTTTAAATCATGATAACAGAAATCACCCAAATGGCCATGATCAAAAGTTTACATACCCTGGAATGTTTGGCCTTGGTACAAACACACAAGGTGACACACAAAAAGGCAATAAATCCCAGAAGCTGATTGGTTTCTATGCACAACTGCACCAGATTTTGCACTTGCCAGTTTTAGTAAATAACCCCCAATAAGATAA